ATGGAGAATTAGAAGCATTTTTACAATATTATATGCTTTTCTATTTCAGAAAGGACAATAAATAATGTATGTGAGACAGCGCGTAAAATTTGTAAAGTCTACGGACAAGGTACTGTTTCTGATGATACATTTCAAAGGTGGTTTGTGATTTCAACTCTTAAAGACGAGGCGCGATCTGGATGTCCCTGCACTATGGATGATGATCTATACTGGAGCAAACATCGCCGAAAATCCTCGTTATATAGCTTACATGAATTGGCAGAGAAATGATAAATTGCAAAGAGTACATGACTATTTGAATCTGTTCTCGTGAGTAAAAACCTTCCGGTTGACCCAATATATCTTAACTTGTAATTTTAACTTAACTTGTAATTGTAACTTAACTTGTAATTGTAACTTAATTTTGTCAATTATATGTATGTATATCACGGATAGATATACATACATATAATGTATTACGTATATAATAGTTACCCGTATGTACAGCTTGCCGGAATCATCCCGCAGTTTCTCAAATAGGAACGCCGATCCATAATCCGGTAATTTCGGCTTGCTAATATTATGGGCCTTGGCAAACGCCGCAATATTCAGCTCGTGGCCGCTATACACGTACATCTTGCGCGGTTTCAAGGATTTCTCGTTCTTGTTCATGTTATCGATGAATCTCCTGATCAACATACCTCCGTTAATCCGTTTCAACTGAGTCGTGTACGAGCGGATCTCGTATTCCAACACGGCGACATCCTGGATCCGTTGGTACACATCATCGGTGCACCACTCCGGCAGAGTTAAATTCATGTTTTTCTGAAATACGAGAAGAGCGAACGTATAGCATCACCAGTTACACATATATTCATATTTACACGTATGGATTGAATACTTTTTTTATTCTTAATTTTAAGTGTATAAGACATTAAACAGAATAACTAAATTCTGTGTGTTTGAAAATATTTTATTATATAAATGATGAAATTTGTTTAAATATTTACTTGTGCTGTTAACATATTATAAAGCGTTAGTAGCTCTTCGAGATTTAGTCCAGTTTTCTCGCTCAAAAATTTGTAGAAATCTTCGTAAACTGCGAGTTTATCGCGGACTTCTTTCGTCTTCTTTATTTCAGCAAAAGCTGCTCGGTATCTAAACAAAAAATTAAAATTGCTAATAACTTTTATTAAGAAAATCATCATCATCAATTTCTTTGTCTCTTAATTGTAAGAAGTGTGGTGATCTCTCATCATATTTCTGTGGTGTGCGCTATTTACAATTTACACAGAAATGCGAGACCTACAGTTTTAAAGTTTTAAGACAAACAGTTCGGTTCCGAACGGCCTAACTAAGAAAATAAGTGTTAAAAAATAAGTACAGATATGATTTCTAATGCACGGAATTTATGGAAATTAAAATACTAACGCTGGACATTTATAAGGTTTGAGTAATATATCTACTCTTTCAGGCGTATAATACGTGGGAATGGCGAGCCACGGTAAATCCGGATTCCACAATTGTGTTAAGTCCGGAGGATACAATCCTGCTAACATCAATTGTAAAGACATTTTTGTGCGATCATGGTTTGTGCTGACAGCATAAATATCTTGCGGGTAATAAATCGATCCCAGAAAGTGGTCATAACGTTGCCTCAATATTGTGCCGATTCGATATTCCGTCCGTTTTCCTTGCTGAAAAATGAGAATTAATGAATTAATTTTTTGTTTATCAATAGTCTATTATTATAATAATTTATCAGTAGAGGAAAGTCACCAATACTGTCACACCACTTTGTTTTTAGATATTTCTTAAACAAAAGCTAAAAATACAACTTTGAAAACATAAATAAATACAAACTGAAAAGTATTTTTTATCAGATAATATAGCAGCTTTTTATAATACTAATTAGAATTTTACAATAGTTCATGTTTTCGTAAGATAAACAAAAATAATCTGATAAAATAAGTCTCAAAATCGACAAAAATAAGAAAGAGAAATATAAATAAATATAAATATATAAATATATAAATAAAACAGTTTTAGAAACAACTAAATAATGTCAATGCAATTTTAGAAAACTACATACATGTAAAACAATCAATATTAATAATAATACATCCAATATTATTTAAAGTGCACAATTTGCAAAAAAAAATAGTAAGAGTGTTAATATTTTCGCATTTGTAGAATTTATTTTTAGTTGATTTTATATAGAAACAATAAGTCATAATTATACAAATTATGAGCTTCTATCTTTTTAATTATCAAAAAAGATAAAATATTAAAGATACGAGTGCAAGTCAATAAGTTTTTAGAAAAACACAGTAAAACACATTTTTTGATCGATTCATTTTTATTTCTCAACATAGCTTTTTTCAGCTCGATACACTTGATCGAACGATTCTCCAACTTCTTCAAGCCGTCCGAATAACATGATTTGTCCAACCATTCAAAATAAGCCTCTGTTTTGGCGATGAGCTACTCTCTGGTGGTGAATCTCTTTTCTCTGAACCATTTCTTCAAGTTTGGAAACAGAAAATAGTCGCATGGGACTAAATCTGGCGAATATGCTGGATGAGGAAGCCATTCGTAGCGGAATTCGTTGAATTTGGCCATCGATGCCGAGCACGTGTGAACCCGTGCATTGTCTTGATGGAACAACACTTTCTTCTTCGCCAAATAGGGACGTGTTTTCTTTAAAATGTTGTTGAAACGGTCCAATAAGGCTGCGTAGTAATCGCCATTGATCATTTGCTTCGACGGAAGGTAATCAATATGAATTATACCGTGTGCATCCAAAAAAACTGTGGCCATCACCTTTCCGGCCAACTTCACGGTCTTCGCCTTCTTCGGAACTGGTTCACCCGGTGAAGTCCATTGTTTTGACTGTTCCTTCGTCTCAGGTGTGAAGTAATGGATCTATGTTTCGTCCACAGTAATGAATCGACGCAGAAATTCATCTGGATTATGTTGAAACATCTCCAAACATTGTTTTTAAATCGTCACGTACGGTCGTGCTTATAGTCCACAGTGAGCAAATGCGGCATCCATCATGCCGACAGCTTTTTCATACCCAATTGTTCGTGCAAAATTGAAATCACTGTGCCATGTGATATGCCTGTGGCCTCAACAAGCTCACGCACTTTTACTCATCGATCAGTCAAAACAATATCGTAGACTTTATCGATGATTTCTAGCGTAGCAGCTTCAATTGGATGTCCCGAACGAGGTGCATCACATGTGGATGTACGACCACGTTTAAATTCATTCATCCAATTGTATACAGTCGCAAACGTTGGTGCAGATGTGCTATGAACATTATCCAACTTGACTTTGATTTCTTTCGGCGTTAAACCTTTCATATGTAGATATTTAATCACTGCACGAAACTTGTTTTGTTTTTATTTTGCAAAAAATACAAAGGTTGTTCGCTTTAATCGTCTATAGAAATGAAACCATGCGATTAATTCCGCTTAAAATTTTACAGTAATCAGCTGAAAGATGCTACTTGTCAAAAAGTAATGTGACATGACACTACGAGCGCTCTCTGACAGATTTTCTAAGAACTTATTAACTTGCCCTCGTATAAATTAAGAGGATTGCCGTCTGTTTTATCGACAAAAATACTATTTTTGTTGGATACAAAATACTTCGTATTAATCGCATAGAATAAAATTTCCTTTTCCACAATTAAAATACACATGCTAATGCATCTGGCTCTGGTGCGTTTTGTACCAAAAACAGAAAAAAATTAAGAAATTACAGATTTCGTTATCCATTTTAACCTCAACATGGCGACTAATACTATCAATTTACCAAAACGTTTACTTCGTGAAAAAGTTAGGCAGGTTATATGCTCGAAATGAAGGCAGAGCCAGATGTACAATAAAGAAATGAATATAGGTGAGTCGTTAAAATCAAATTTAGAAGCCTAAATAAAAATACATTTGTATCCTACAAATTT